GCACACAGGAAAATTGTCTTCAATATCGGCGGGAGGGGGATCTCTGAGAGCGAACGACGGTAGTTGCTCCGATGATCACACTCTCGAGCTCCCTTCCCGCCAATTTCGACTTTTATTGTAACATACAAGGAAAACACTGCCCCCGACATTTGCATACCGCACCCCCGGTCCGGCCCCTCGGTAGTGATTGGTTACCTGAGTTTAAGCTTTGAACCACCAGTACATTGGCGCCTTTCTGTCTGGTCCACACTGTATCAACATGTTGCAGACTTCGCGGACGACAAATGTCGCCTGGGCGCGACGGGTGTTCTCAACTCGTCTTTTGTTGTTCAACCGCTGTTCCCAAATTATTCATTCCCCTTTTGTGACCGAGTTTCGCCCCCTCCCCTGTGATTGCCCACCTGCATTGACGTGCTAATTGTGGACTTCAACAGCCCTCCGGCCAGGTGGCCGGCGCCTTTGTGCACAGGCATTTGGAAGTGCTGGATACGCGCCCAAACGTTTAGATGTGTCCAAATTAAATGAAACTTTAAACATGATACAATTTTGCTCATAAATTCCTCTAACACACTGTGGATTACTTGCAGTACCTATCGACCCATCTATAGCAGGAAACGTTCCATGGCATGACTAAAATAAAGAAGGGATATTAAATAAGCTGGCTAAGCATGTCATTAATCTCAGCAGAGTAGCACTGTTCTGACCTCTTTTTTTTTTTTTTTCCACACTTTGGATCAAAATGATTCCTGTTCAAGGCTGTCAATACCAGCTCTCTGGGTATCTGGTGTTGAATAATTGCTGGTCTCCAGTAAATAGCTTCTCACATTGTACCAAACTATATATTAATTCTCCTTACAGATGTCAGTTTTTATTTGGGGTTAAATTGAAATATGAACAGTTTCAGTCAAATCAAACTCTTGTTTTAGCCTCTTTTTGTATTTGAAGATAGCTTGCCTTGGATCGGTGCATTAATATATAATCTTATGCAGAGAGAAGAAGTTGCTTGTCAGTTCAGAAGACTATGGGCGTGACTTGACCGGAGTGCAGAATCTGAGGAAGAAACACAAGCGGCTTGAGGCTGAATTGGGGGCCCACGAGCCAGCCATAAAGGTAAGTCATCTCGTCCCTTTTTATTTACAAACCCCAATTGCAATGAATTTGGGACATTGTATGAAGCCTAAATAAAAACAGACTAAGATGATTTGAAAATCCTTTTCAGCCTGTGTTCAATAGAATACACGACTGATATCAGGATATTTAAACAGATTTTTTTCCCAAATATTCCAAAAAAGGTGGGACGGGGGCATGTTTAACACTGTGTTACAACACCTTTCCTTTTAATAACACTCAATAAGCGAACTGAGGACACCATTTGTCTGAAGCTTTGTAGGCAAAATTGTTTCCCATTCTTGCTTGATCAACAACTTCAGTTGCTCAACAGCTCAACTTGTCAAACATGCAGCCGTGGGGGGTGACCTATCACTTCTGCCATTAGCTTACAGTTCAGTTCAACTTCCCTACTATTTACATCGGTTATCTTAAATCTAACATGGTGCGTTGCTAATATCTACTGGCAGTCTCATATTTCATTACCACGTCGGGAGTGCTCGGAAGTTAAAAGAGAACAGCATCAGTTCTCAGTTCTCTGCCTCCCCCCCCACCCCCCCAAAAAAGAGCTCATTTTTGACTGTGAATGCTTTGTTTCTCATGAATAACTTGAGTACTTCTCGGCATGTAATTAGTTCATATATGGTATTATTTTTATTCATATCTGGTTTATGCACATTTTTCATTTGGAAGGTTGTTATATTAATTACATTGTTTCCAAAATCCGCATGCTCCCAGTCGGTGCTGGATACCGGAAAGAAGCTGTCTGATGACAACACCATCGGACAGGAGGAGATACAGCAGAGATTGTCTCAGTTTGTAGACCACTGGAAAGAACTCAAAGACCTATCTGGAGCAAGGTAAAATTCAAAACATGTTGACCTGCACGCGGCTACACAAACCAACGTTCTCCGTTTTTACATTATAGGGGACAGAGGCTGGAGGAATCGTTGGACTACCAGCAGTTTGTGGCAAACGTGGAAGAAGAAGAAGCATGGATTAACGAGAAGCTAAATTTAGTGGGGGGTGAAGACTATGGAGACACGCTGGCTGCGGTGCAGGTGTTTTTCTAACCCGTCTCACATTGTGAAAATGTATCAGTGAATGTGTTTTTTTAAGTGTCAACATTTCATTATTAGGGCTTGCTTAAAAAACATGAAGCATTTGAGACAGACTTCACCGTGCACAGAGACAGAGTCAGCGACGTTTGTGCTAATGGAGAAGATCTCATTAAGAAGGTAGTATTTATTGAACGGGCACCAAAGGATCCTGCATTTTTCAAACTGGTTTTCATTGTGGTGTTGTTCTCAACAGAACAACCATCATGTGGACAGTATCACTTGCAAGATGTCAGCTCTGCAAGGCAAAGTATCAGAGCTCGATCGGGCAGCCGCTCAGAGGAAGGCCAAGCTGGATGAGAACTCTGCCTTCCTGCAGTTCAACTGGAAGGCTGATGTGGTGGAGTCTTGGATTGGTATGAAAACAGCTGAGAAAAGCAGTCTGTCTTTAGAAAGATAATCTTATGCCAGAATCCCAAAATGATGTGCTTTCAAGAGTGCTATCAACAATAACAAACTATCTACATAGAACACAGACAAAGAGTTAAACTGTTGTTGTTCATCGGGCTTATTACCTTCATTTTGCAATGGCCATTGTTTTAATATCTTTTCTGCAGAAACCTAACCAGAACAACATGCAGGCTAGTCCATAGATTGTCTATGTCCAAAGTCCAGCCAATTGCTTGCAGCCCATGTTCAAATTTATAGAAAATACATGGGTACAAAAAAGCTACTAGATCAGTGGGTCTTAACCTTGTTAGAGGTATCGAACCCAACCAATTCATATGCACATTCACCGAACCCTTTATTAGTGAAAAATAAAAATGTTATTGGGGTTTTTTTTTTTTTTTTTTTTACAAATTCAAGACATAAAAAAACAGAAAGAAAAACAAAATAAAATTTTAAGAAATAAGTATACGTTTTTTCTATTGCGTACAAAATGAAACAGTCAGTGATGGCCAAGCAGGCATGTCATAACTAATTGACATATTGAGTCGGGTATGCCTTAACCTCCATGGCAGAGGCTCTGTCGAACCCCTTAGACCAATTCACCAAAACCCCTGGGGTTCGATCAAATCCACGTTAAGAACCACTGTACTCGATGTTTCACCAGAAGAACAAGTGGCCATGCTCTTGGATGCGTTCGTGAATTTGCCTCAAGCATGCTCTGCCTCTCAGAACCCACTGCTCTGTCGTGCTGGGCGTCGGAGTGAACTTCCAAACCTCTCGCTAAATGACCCTTGTGTGACCCTTTGCAACCCATTTATACACTTTACAGCCCCCCGACCAATGACACTTTGTTGTATTGGCACTGTGTTCTCATGTCTTGTTGCATGATGAAGCTTCTTCTGATTGTGGATGCATTTTAACCTGTTAACTGCCAAACAAAATGGTTTTGTTAGGCTTGAGTATTCATTCTGCTGCGAGCATCATGAGTTATATCTTCAATAATAACTAGTGAGCTTATTCCCAAAGCAACTATGCAAGCCTAAGCAGTGATGATCTTGTTTGTTTTGGATCAGAAGCAGATCCTTTTTTTCCTCCATGTTTTGGCCTTTCCATTACTTTTGTAGAGATTCATCTTGGTCTGATCCGTCCATCATACTTTGTTCCAAAATGTTTGTGGCTAATCACTGCCAAATCCAATCTGGTCTTCGGTTTCTTTTTGTTGATGTGTGGTTTGCGTCTTGTGGTATGGCATGTGTATTTCTTCTTTCCAAATCTTTATTCTTGATGTAAGCAGAATGAATACTAAAGTCTACAAAACCATTTGGTCTGACAGTTTACAAAAAAATGCATCCAAACTAATGGAGAGAAGCTTCCATTAACATATTTTCGCACTGTCGAAGTGACGAGACAGCCGTTGACGCCTGCTGAAATAGACAGGGGGTGATTGATCCTGTTTGCGCTGCCACCACTGAGATTGATTGCCAAACTTTAAATATTGTTTACTATAAATATAACAGTTTATACTTACGTCATTTTTAGGCACTGCACTTGCAGTATCGTACCACAAAATAAACCGCTACTCGTATCGATTAGCAGCAGAGTGGCTTTCTGTGCAGCAACGACCAGTTACATATTGTCAGATAGTGGCTAAATATGTATATGGGGGAAACACTGCAGCTGGAATGTCTTATTTCACTGGGCCGACCAGTGATGTCATTGATCGATTGGCAAATTAAAGACACTATGACCGGTCAAAAAAACGTGCTTAAATTGCAAAATATCCAACGATCCAATCCTGCCGATCAGATCTGTGTAAATAATGCAGAGAAAAAGGTGCACAACACACAATGAGCGCACAAATGCAGAAGCTGCCGTCATCCCCAGCTCATCCCAGGCACGCGCATGTATTTGCCAGCGCCACCAGGCCCAGCATCTTAAAGTAGTAAACCTATTTTTTTAAAAGGATTTCATGCCTCCTCTCCATATTACCTATTTTCACCTTCAGAGTGGGTCTGGAACATATCAGCTATGATGAACTGTATTGCAAACCTTGAAAGAGCAAACTACGTACAATTTTTGTATTTCCAACCTTGAAAGAGCAAACTACGTACAATTTTTTTTTTTTTTTAGTTTTCCTGACTGACTACCCTCATGTTCCCCATTTAAAACTGGGTCCATTTTTTTATGATGTTGACATAATGACTTCTGAACTTAATGAGTGTAATATTTGGTATTCATGAATTTATTCAGGAGAGAAAGAGAACAGCCTTAAGAATGATGACTACGGCAGAGACCTGTCCTCTGTGCAGACTCTACTCACCAAGCAGGTATTTGTATCTTTGGTGCATCCCGTAGCCCTTCTCGTCTTTTTCTTTCTCTCCACTGATTTGTTCTGTGTTGATCTGCAGGAAACATTTGATGCCGGACTGCAGGCCTTCCAGCAGGAGGGCATTACCAATATCACAGCTCTCAAAGATCAGTTGCTGGCTGCCAAGCACGTCCAAGCAAAAGCCATTGAAGCTCGTCATGCTGCCCTGATGAAGCGTTGGAACCAGTTGCTGTCCAACTCGAAGGCTCGCAAGATGAAGCTGCTGGAGGCTCAAGTGCATTTTCGAAAGGTAAAGAGGCCAGAGGGTGTGTGTGGGGGGGGCGGTCTTGTTGGATTGTGTTGTGGCAGTTGGGATTTTATTGTTGTTTTTTTTTGTCTCTTGGATGATATGCTCATTTTTTGTGTGTGTGTGTATTCCCACCCAGGTTGAGGACTTGTTCCTTACCTTTGCCAAAAAGGCATCAGCCTTTAACAGTTGGTTTGAGAATGCAGAGGAGGATCTGACAGACCCAGTGAGGTGCAATTCTCTGGAAGAGATTCGTGCACTGCGTGAAGCCCATGAGGCCTTCCGCTCCTCTCTGACCTCAGCCCAGACGGATTTCAATCAGCTGGCTGAACTGGACCTGCAGATCAAAAACTACCAGGTGGTGTCCAACCCCTACACCTGGTTTACAATGGAAGCTTTAGAAGAAACATGGAGAAACCTGCAGAAAATAATCAAGGTATGATCATGAAATAGCTACAGTATATACCTTTCTCACACCTTTTGCGGGTTAATGGTTGATACGTCGCAGCATATCATTGAAATCCCCAAATACGAAATAAGGGCAGATTTGACAAAAAAAAAAAAAAAAAAATACATGTGAGACAGTGATATAGTGTTGGTAGGCAAGGGTTTGTAATTGAGACCCTCCCCTTAAAAGTTATTTCCATTAGATGGCAACAAAGTTAGTTTAGCTAGATGGAAAAAACTAAGAATGTATACATAATATTAATATGAATATTAAACAGTGCTTTGGCCTGAGCACAAAAACAGCTAAAGGCTGTGGTTTGGTGTGAATGAACGTTTAAATGATTCTCTGTCCACAGTAAGGAAGGATTGCTAGACTTCTGGCTGGAAACGACAAGCAAATACAGTACAAAGCCTCTAAAGTAAATTCCCCTAAAAGTCATTCAATTTGGAATTCAACCCAAAAAAATTGGGGCAAAAGACTAAAATGTTGGGATTGATCTTTTTTTTCTGACATGTTTGTATTTAACACAAAGCGAATTATTTGTGAAATGTTTAGCCCTGTTTTTTTTTCCTTACAAAAAAACGCTGATTGTGTTAGTTTTCTGTTTTAATGGTGAAATCAGGAGCGTGAACTGGAACTGCAGAAAGAGCAGAGAAGACAGGAGGAGAATGACAAGTTACGGCAGGAATTTGCACAGCATGCCAACGCTTTCCACCAATGGCTGCAGGAGACCAGGTACAGCAAGCATCTTTGAGCAATTCCTCAGACCTTTTTCTTAAAATCGATTGAATTTTTTTGTTTGTATTATATGGAGCATGTCATTAGCAACATGACAAGATTTTTCAAAAATGTCAAAATGCTCAGTCTGGTTGGAATAGCCACTTCACCTTAATCAAGTGCGGTTGCATGATTTTTACAAAATTCCACAAAGATGGCGGCCGCGTATCGCTGCTTATGTTATAAACAGGATTGAAAAATAAGAACTGATAATAAAGAACTGGTCACAAACACGGACATGAAACATATAAATACAAATGGCAATACAAAACAATAAATGAAAGACAAAAGTTCTGAAGACAATTGATTCAACAAAAAGGCACACAAACCTCGTGGGCTCACATCCACAAGGGGCTAAATATCCTTAAGTATTGCTTGTCTCCTTCCTTCATTGAGTCAGGAGTTAACTTTTGGTTTATCTTCATTTCATAATGGCCACACAGAGGTCAGGTGTGTGTGTGTGTGTGTGTGTGTGTGTGGGTGTGTGTGTGTGTGTGTGTGTGTG